GCCAAGGACTTGCTCTGATAAGTGATTTATTAGACCTCCCCCCGCCCCAATGTCTACCCCATAGTGTTTCCTTGGTAGTGCGCGGGTGTTGTTTTGTGCCAAAGAAGAAGATGGGTCGATTGAGGATGTGTTAGATTATTGACATGTTGAACAAGGTCACAAATCCAAGATATAAGATATCCATTGCCGAGGATTACTGATTTGTTTGATCAAGCTTCAGGGTTCCAAAGTGTTTTCGAGTTTGATTTGAGATCTGGCTACCCATCAGTTGAGATTAGGGCATGCCGATGTCCCTAAGATAGCTTTCCGCACTCGATACGGGTATTAGGAGTTCTTGGTGATGTCGATTTGGGTTGACAAACTGCCCCAGCAGCTTTTATGGACATTGAATGAACGGAGTTGTTCAAGCCTTGCCTGGATTCCTTGGGATTGTCTTCAATTGATGATATTTGTTGATCTATTCAGGCAGCCGGGAGGAGCGACGAAGCAGCATCTTCGAGTCGTTCTTCAAACTCTGAGAGATATTTCAGTTGTATGCTTAAGTTTTCGAAGTGTGAAGTTTGGTTGGGTTCAGTGGCCTTCTTAGGTCCGTTGTATCAGCAGAGGGTATTCAGGTGGAGATCGAAGGAAGATTGAGGCAAATCAAGGACTGGCTAGACCCGCATCGCTACAGAGATCCAAGAGTTTCTTGGTTTGGCAGGTATACTACCGTCGATTTATAGAGGGGTTTCATCTATAAGAAGCCTCAGCTTGACCAGGTTGACACCAGAAGGGTGCCTATGTCAGGTGTGGCTCGGAACGAGTGTGAGGCGATGCTTTCAGGAAGCTTCAAGGACAGCTTTGGACTACGGCGCCCGACAGTATTTTGGTTTTGCCCAGCATGCCTTCGGGCCATTATACAGTTGTTGTTGACGCATCTCGTATTAGCGACTTATCGGTGCGGTGTTGATGCCAGGATGGCAAAGTCATCTTATGCCTTCTCGCGACAGTTGATGATTATGAGAAGAATATCCAGTTCATTGATTTGGAGTTAGTAGCCATTGTTCACGCGCTGAAGACTTGAGGCAACTATTGTATATGGCGTTGTCATGTGAGGTCTGTGTTCATGGATCACAAGAGTCTGGCCAGTACTTGTTAAGCAGAGGAGCTAAATTTGAGGCTGAAGAACGGTGGTTGGAGCTTTTGAAAGACTATGATTCACCATCTGTTATATTCATCGGGGAAGGGACAATGTAGTGGTAATGCTTTTGAGTAGGAAAGTCACGTCAGCATGGCAGTCTTCGCATATATTCCGCGTCAGTGAGAGACCACTTCTGCTTTAGCGGATTGTTCAGGCTTTACAACACAGTTCGTGAGGTTGGGATGGTTTCTGAGCCCAAGCGGTGTGTTATCTGTACAGTCGCTCGTTTATTCATTATTTGGCGTACTCAGAGATCGCATATATGATGATCACTCATTTGTGTGTCTTCAGGGACCACCAGTGCAGCATGGTGGTTGCCGAAGGCAGGTTACGATAGGGATGATGGTGGAGTTTGAGGATGGAAGAGTCAAGTTTTGTGCCTTATGATGGATGCGACTTCGAGAGTTGATTCCAAGCGGGGAGACCGAGGTAGTTTCTGCCAGAACGTCCGCAGGCCTTGGCGTCCCCTTCTATCGTACTTTATTTCTGTTCTTATTTATTTCAGAGACAGAATATACTTTCTGTTCAGACCCTATTTGTAGTTATTCGTAGATGGTTCGTGGGATTTCGACACCAGTTTTCTTGGGTGGAATTACTTTATGGAAACCGTCTATTTTTATATTAAGTTAAATTTTGCGTATTTCGTCTTCCGCATTATTTTATTCCGCTGTTTGATCATATGTTAACTTGTAATTGTTAAAAGATAATGAAAAAGGTTCATAAGAATCTGTAATTGTCAGCTTGCCTAGCTTTCACGAGTCGGCCGCATTCACGACTCGGTGGTGGAAAATCCGGTTCATTGACACGTCAAAAAACCATGTAAGATAAAAAGCATTGAGGGTTGTAAGAAATTCTTTATGGTGATATTGAAGCAATCCCACAAGCATGGAATTAGTCGCATCTGAAAAATATGTATTCAAGATAACTGTAACTCGTTGTCTCCATGAAATTGCTCTTTCCTTAAAGTTCATAAAGATTGGAGATCTCTTGCTTTGTTTATCTTTATTGATGTCTTTTTTTCACATGGTACTAACCCAAGTTTTATTTTTGAAACTTTTTAAGAAAAAATATGTCCCATAAGTTCGAGGTTGAAGACGTTAGGCGCTCATGTCATACTATTTGGCCTAGAAGGAGTGAAGTAAATGGAGAAAGGCATTTCATATCTCAAGACTCTATACACAAATAATATCTTGAAAGAAGTTCAACATGTTCGATTTGCAAATCCGTCAACACATCCAATGGAGCAGTGGAATAAAAATATCAAAGTTTGATGATCGAGAAAAAGTGGATCCTTTATTTTTCAAGAGTCTTGTGGTATGCTTAAGGTACTTGAAATGTACCAGGCCAGATATACTCTTTGTAAGTTTGAGTAGTAAGTCGCTTCATGGAAGTCTTACCTCCACTCACTTGAAGATCTCTAGAAGAATTCTTCGTTACCGAAATGGTACGATTGACTTCGAGTTATTTTATTCTTCTTCTAGTGATTTCAAACATGTAGAATTTTGTGATAGTGATTATGGCGGAGATTTTGATGATAGAAAAAATCATAAATAATTTTGTATTTTTCTTGGTGATTATGTTATTTCTTGGAGTTCAAAGAAATATTTATTGTTACTCTCTCGATTTGTGAAATGAATATATAGCAGCAACATCTTGTACATGCCATGCTATTTGGCTAAGAAGATTATTGAAGAGCTCAATTTGTTACAAATTAAGCTACTGAGAGTTGTAATTGACAAAAAATTCGCACAGGAACTTGTCAAGAATTCGGCATATCATGATCGAAGCAAGCATTATAGACACAAGGTATTACTTTATCAAGAGAATGCATTGCGAAGAAAGAAGTACCTCAAATATATGAAGTCTCATGATTAGACTGCGAATATCTTTATAAAAGCATCTCAAGTTTGACGATTTTTAGAGATTCCGATCAAGACTTAGAATGAAGAAAAAAATTAAATTAAGGGAGAAATATTTGCGACCCAGTCCAATTTTAAAAAAAAGAAGAATAAAAATGATCGGATGAATTGGGTGGAAATTGTAGGCGCCCAACTTGGTCTTGCAACAAGTTAGAAAACGGTTTTGGTGATGGAAACTTGCAAAGCAAATTGCAATGGAATGAACCATTCTGATGTTGAAAAGTTTGGCAAGTTCTCCTATAAAATAGTCTATAAAAAAATAGAGTGAGCAGTAAAACATTATAGTGAGGTTTTGAAATAAAGAGTGTTGTTCTTTTTTGAAGGTGTATTAGTCTCTTGACACTACCAAGTTTAATATTATAGTGGTATTATATTATCTCGAAGGTAGTATACCTCGTTTATAAATTATATCGTTATTCTTCTCTTGTTCTTGTCATTATGATTACATTGGATATTATTACCTGGGCGGATATTATTTTTCTAATACGGTTTCCTTTTAACTTTAATTTACTATCCCATCTTTTTCATAAACTACTTAAATGGCCCAAAAAACCCTTCTAACGAACATTTAGATTACGCAACAAATAAAAGTTTGACTAAATTATAAATAAGAGGAATTGATTCAACATATATATATATAATATATATATTATATATATTATATATATATATATATATTATATAATATATATATTATATATAAACGTACGTTGCACCGTTAATTAATGGCAGTGGCAGGTGATGATTTAAACATTTATTTACATGAAGGAACAATAAAATTTAATTAATGAGAGAAATTTTATGTTTAATAATACAACAATCATCTAAATGGCGAAAAATATTATTACATTAGCATAATACATGAATTTAAAATAAAAGAACATCATCAAAACTTACACATATGATCAATTTTGTCATGTTAGTTAGATAATTATGTATTATAGTTTAAAAGTATTTAATGTGATGATATCCTGATGAACACTTCTTTGTGGACATTTCTTTTTTGTATATATTTCCTCATAATGCTTTGGTTGCTCTGCCTTAACCAGAACTCTTGTTGTCAATCTTTATATCCCTCTTAAAAGTGCAACATACAATTGTTCGTGAAAGTAAACATATTGCATTAAATATAGTCCAATATTTAGGATGTTTGTCCTTCTGTTTTGTTTATTATATTTGCAAAACATAAACATATTAAAAATTATTTTCACACAAATTTAAAAGGATATTCCTTAGTTTCGGAAGACAAAAGTTGAATTCAGTGATAAGAATATACTTAGAAGCACATTGACCAGTATCATAATTTTAGTATGTATGACGTTATTGTCAAAACTTCTGTATACCATCTGTGTGCTATTACATAAGCTATTCGGCGTATCTAAGTTTTTCAGTAGCATGATGGGCATATTTTTCTTCAAAATTAACCTATATTCAAAGGAAGATCAATTTTAACTTAGTCTATTATATATACGGTGACACTAACATACGCAAGAAATAATAAACTTGAAAATAAACATGTATGGTAGAAGGCCATTTGGTATTAAAGTATTTAATTATTCTTCTTGGTAGTAATTATTGGTATCATTTGTTAAGGCTATTGATACTCCACGTCATCAAGGATAGTAATTCAATAATATCTGCTGTATTTTTTTTAACAGTAAATATTTGAATTTTGTATTACCATAATTATAGGTCTTGATAAGATCATGTAGCAATTGTTAACTGCTCTAGATAAGATTTGTAACTAATCTTATACTCTGTATCTATTAATACCATGTATAAACAGATGGAAAGTGAAGTTTTCAGTCCTGCTATTTCTTCTCTTATCCAAATCTTAACATGGTATCAGGGCATTGATCTGTCTTCATTATTTTTTTTCCTCAAACATTTCTGGTAAAACTATGGCTTTATCCGGCACTAATAATATCACTCATGTCTCTGGCAAATCACTGGTTGCAATCAATGGTACTCAACTTCCATTAAAACTTTCAACCCAAAATTACTCTACATGGCATGCTCAGATTACTCCTCTTCTTCGAGGACATAACCTAATGGGTTATGTCGCTGGTACTATTTCTCCTCCTCCTAGTCTCATCGAAGAAGAAGGCAGAAGTATCGCTAACCCAGACTATGAGTTTTGGGAATGTCAAGATCAGTTAATCCTCGCTGCTATCATTGCTTCGGTTTATTTCTCAGTTATGAACACCATCGCAGATGCTAAAACCTCAGCGGAGGCATGGAATAAACTTCAGGTAGCCTTTGCCAATAAATCGGCTACACGAATTCTTTCTCTCCGAGAAAAACTCTCACGCACCAAGCGTGATTCTCGCCCAGTTGCTGAGTATCTTCAACTTGTCAAGTCAATTGCGGAAGAACTCTCCTTATGTGGCAGTCCTGTAAACGATGTTGATCTTGTTGTTCATGTTTTGGGTGGAATTGGCTCTGAATTCCGTGATATTGCTGCGGCAATCCATGCCCGAGACTCTGTCATCTCGTTTGATGAACTCCAGGATAAACTGCTTGCCCATAAACTATATCTCAAGCAGATTGACCACAACTTCGATCCGACCCCTGTGACATCAAATCATGTTCGCAAGGGAAATTCTAGCAGGCCACCCTATCAATCAAGGCAAGGTAATTATAGTAAACCTTCCACTCAATTTCAGTCCAATGGTTTTCAGTTATCAGAGAACTCTTCAAGCTTTGGCACTAATGCATCACGCCATCAGTCCTCTGTGCCCTCATCCCACCACCGAAATTCCAGCACTCAACCAAAGGTGCAGTGTCAATTTTGTGACAAATATGGTCACCATGTCAAGAAGTGTTTTCGGGCTAGAGACTATTTCAGATCTATTTTCACAAAGTCCACAGGCTCATCACTCCACAACAAACTCGAACTCGGACTCCCAATGGCTTCTTGATACTGGGGCTTCTCATCACATAACCAATGACTTGAGAAATCTCTCTCTTCATGCGCCATATGATGGAAATGATGAGTTGCATCTCACAGACGGTTCAGGTTTGTCGATTACACATGTTGGTTCTGGTATTGTGTCTTTACCATCCAAAAAATATCATCTAACCAACGTTCTTTGTGTCCCATCTTCCCAAGCAAATCTTATTTCAGTCTCTCAATTTTGCGGTTCAAATCAAGTATCAATTGAATTTTTTTCTGATTTTTTTCTTATAAAGGATCAATTCAC